CTCTCTCTCTCTCTCTCTCTCTCTCTCTCTCTCTCTCTCTCTCTCTTCCTTTGACTCTCTCACTGTTTGTTTGTCTGTGTTTCGTCATTCTCCTTCTCACTACTTTTTCCAAGCTCGAGCAACCTTCCGTCTGATATCCAGAGCTGCTGCTCTTACTCTCTCCACCGCCCTTGGATTCAATTCCAAAGTTTTATGGGCTTAAGTGAGTTGTGTAAATGGTGAGGCGGTCTTTTTTGTCTTACTTTGAATTTTCTCATCTGGAGAGAGTCACATCCTCTGCTACCGACGCCCTCCTCAAACCCATTTGTATTCTCTCCCTTTCCTAGCCTGTCCAGATATCCTCTTTCTTTTACTCCCGTTGTACCTTTTCTCAACGTTTCTCCACCTCCAAACCTTCTCTCTCCTTTACTCTCCTTTTTTTGTTCTCTAATGCCTCACAAAGGAGAAAAAAAACATGTTTGCTATACATAAAAATAGGTGTGTGCATGAGTATTTAGGCAAGTGTGTTGAAACAGACTGAGTACCCTTGTGCTTTGTACTGGCATTTATAAGTGTGTGTTTGGAGGAATGTCAGGTCTGTGTGCTGCTGAAAGTATATGCAAATGAGGGCGTATATGCAAATGAGTGTCCTAATTTGGATGTTAATTACTCAGCACGGCTAATTATAATATGTCTGATGAGGCGTAAGGTGGAGGAGAGGAGCGAAATTGAAGGGCTGTCACAGGATGATGTATGTGTGGCAATGAGAGAATGAGTGTGTTTGTTGTGTTTATGAGAGAGAGAGAGAGAGAGAGAGAGAGAGAGAGAGAGAGAGAGAGAGGGGTTTTTGTGTGTGGGGTTGCCAGTATCACACCAGCTGGTCCAATGGCCCCGGTGGGGCTTTCTGGTCAGCACTGCTCCATATGTGGTGGATAAACATTGCATGCAGTGCTGACTTCTGAAAGACGCCCTCACACACACACACACACACACACACACTGCCCTGTTCTCTCACTGATGCGTCAACATGCATGCGCTCGGACACTCCTGTACTTTTAAAACTATCTGAGTGAACACTTTTATTCAAATTTAAAGATGGACATATTTTCCCCTTCGCCAGGTGGCAGCTTGTCATTAAATGACTGAAGTGGTGCTTTAGAGGAGAGAGAGGAAAAAAAAGGAGAGTCATGCTGTGCATGTGGAGTTAGAAACAGAGAGAATGGGACAGAAAGAATAAGATAGATATAGGGCTGAGCCGTATGGTCCATATGGTTAACTGTTCAGAAGACAAAGCCACATGGGATGGCTCAAGCACGTGTATTTAAACAGATATCACATTATATGACATGGTTAACCATCACCAATAGTGTTTTCTGACAATGCTACATTGTGAACAACTGATCCATGTTGAAATCGGCAGCACGAGAGCTAGTTAACGTTAATGGGAGTTGCAAATGGTAACAAGGGAATGTATGTAGTACATGGTATTTATTGTTTTACTTTAGTTTTTTATGGTGAATTGTTATTGAGAATCGTGGAATTTCATTGTTGTCGGTATCAACTACTACATTTCTGGTTTCATGACTCGGACATTGATTCGCTCAGCCCCTCCTTGCCCACAATTTACCATCAGAAAGAGGGTCTAATCATGTGCTGGATGAATAACATGTCCACAGTTCAGAAAGAAAATGTTAGAAATTGAATGAATACGTATTTGATGTAACCCAACAATATTGGACCAAGCTGGACTGGTCTGTTGTAGTCTGGGAATCCAGTCGCTGCCAGTTCTTGACGGTACGATGGTTTCATTTGTTTGTTATTTGCGACTGATTTCGGCGACCGAGGACATCGCTTGTGTGTGCGCAATCTCTCTTTTTCTAAAACTAAATCAAATCAGGCCAAATGATTCTTTTGTTTTAGCGTTGTTTGCTCTCACTGACATTTTGCAAAAACATTGAAAAATAGCCTTAGTGTTGCCAGCAAGAGCCGATCCAAGGGCAAATAAGGAGGAGGCTGAGTACCCTTGAACTTCCATGTAGTTAGTGGAATCCTTTTTCTTGTGAGGTATTTTTTTCGTCTTCAGATAAGCATTCAAATTTTTTACAACAGCTTGTCCTCAGTCGTACTTTGGCTGAATAGAGCAATGTTCAGCAGCAACTTGGAGTGAGGGCTGTGCTTCTGCTGCGTCCGTGAGCTGGTGTCATTGAAATGTTATCTATGGTCTCTATGTGCACAGGCCTAGCGATCCTTTTATTAAACAATAGGCCGTGGTCTGCTCACGATAAAGCCTGAAGTTATGAAGACATGCACCACTGCACTCTGTTTTAATTATAATTCCTATACAAACTTATTAGCCTGCTGTGTATTTGTACACCTAATGAAATGTGTTAACGCTGTAGCGTGTGTTCAATCCCGGCCAACTATATGAAACACTCACAGATACACACACACACACACACACACACACACACACACATCGATTGAGTCATCTCCGTCTCCCTTTCAAGTTGTCCTGTGTGTGGGTCTCTTGTATGCAGTCCAAAGCCTCACATATGCTTTGAAATGGTTTTACATTTTGTTATTGCTTCTGATTCCCTCAACTAGCAATCATGAAAGAGCCATGTATTTTTCCATCACGAGATATGATTCCGGAGATGTTTAACATCCACAGGTTTGCGTGAATATTGGAGAGGTAAGCTACAAAGTGAAACTACATAGTGTAACATCACAGGTCCTGCAGCAAAGTCATGCCAAAAGAACATTCTTTTAGGTTTTCTAATACTTTGCCTACAAGGCAACTGAAAAACAAATCACAACAAACGAATATCTTGAGAGGAGAATGAACACACCTGTGTGTGTGTATGTGTGTGTGTGTGTGTGTGTGTGTTTGAAAAACAGACAAGAAAGCGAATGTGTGAGGTTTTGCTCACACATTCAGTCACGTCCGCTTACATACACACAGACTGCTGCACCTGGTGTACCTAAAGCTGCAATTTATGCTCAGGAAGAAAGGAATCACAGCAGGGAGGGGAAATGAAAGTATGTCCTCAAGAAGCAAGAAGGTTTAAATTTTCACGAGTCGTCA